TTTTACACAAAGGCATGGGTTTCAACCGTGAATTTTGGAGCTTTGACGAGACGGAGGGTTTTTTCCCAAGGTTAGCTTGTTAGCTTAGCTCGTAGCTTAGCTTCTCAGCTTAGCTGCTTTTAACGATCCAAAAACGTGTTTTTGGATCGTTAAAATGGATTTTACAGAGAAAAGAGAAAGGGAGGGGTCAGTGAAGAGCACCAGAGTTGAGCCTTTTGTCATCCAGTGTCTTCAGTAGAAAGAGAGAGACATGAAGAAACGATAAAGCCGATAAATGAAAATGAGGTCCATAATTTTCATTTTTACTGCGATTAACTGATTTATTGTTTATTGTGACAGGCCTAGTTGAGAGTTGATGCAATGCAACAAATCAAAAGACATTTCATCAAACTATTGTAGACGGGGGTGCGGTAGCTTGGTGGTCAGTGCCGTGGTCTTGTAATCCTGAGCCCAGGTTGCGTCTGGAAGGGCATCCAGTGTAAAACAATCTCCAAATCTTTCATGTGCGTTCACTCGCTGTGGCAACCTCTGAAGAAGGGAACACCTGAAAGAAACTTATTATTGTAGAGATTATTTTTACTACCTAAGAATGAAAGGAGGGATGAACGAATGAATGATCACAAAAAGTCTTAGTTTAAAATAAACTTAAATCAAAATTAACCCCAAACACATAAATAAGACCTCATGCAAATGTCTAACATTGCAGACATTCCCCCTTCTGAACAGTAGGTGGGGCTAATGAGAAAACAGTACTGCTAGACATCTGGATTTACACTAAAAGAAGAATTGTCTACTAAAAGAATAGATTAAAGGGGATTTATTCTTTATGCGCAAAATAACTACACATGTTCAGCTTTTTTAGACCTTCTTTCAGACTTTTCATTGAACGATTAAATGGGTCATGTTTTATTGTTTACAAATATGTAAACCATCACATCTAGATTAAATCCCAAGGTTGCAGTTGTACACAGCTGCCCTCTCAATCCAATTGCACTGTGCATGTGCGCATCTGTGATTCTACACGTACAAATTGTACAAAACCAAGTACATGCAGTACAAATCATTCTGTTCAACTCAATAAATTTCAATGCGGCAATTTTGCTGCATCCAACGATTGCAAATTAAATCTGTCGACGTTGAAACTCTCAATTTAAATGTTTGATTTGTTTCTTTTTTTGTTTGTTTAATATGTCATTTAAAACATTGATCACCAGTCAAGTTCAAGTAAACGTCATTGCTTTGAAACTTTTTGTTGGTTTATTTGTTTCAGAGTTTTTATTTAACTCTGTCAAACAGGGAAATCTTTCACATTGTATGTCTTGCTGTTTTGTAGTTAACACATCTTTACATATGCAGTTTAAATAATTATTCATTTAACAGGTCCACATTTCAGCATCTTTAATGATGGGGGTTGGGGAGAAAAGCATCTTTATAGAGGTGACTGCTCCAGTATAACCTGCTCAGCATGCCATAAATGTTGTTTAGTTGTAAACAATGACATGTGAGGCCGCTCTGTTATTTTTAGTTTGCATAAAATGTGCATTATAATTTCAGTTTCAAGATATTAAATTGTAATATTTAACACCAAAAAGCAAAATAAGTTTAAATGCAAGTAAAAATAACTTAAGGTCAAGTCAGTTTGGCCTGTTGTGATGGTGAGGTTCACAATAAACAGGAACTGGGTCAAAATTCAGTTAGTTCACACTCAGGTATAAAGTCTGCTGTTTGTCTGCCGAAAATAGTTCATGAAATGCAACTACGCACCCTAATGTGCCAATTAACACTTTCACTTTAAAATGATGCCTTGCTGTTCTGCTGACTCCTTACGACACTTGTAGTCTTTTTTCTGACATGCAATGTGTCTGAATGGATTCAACTTGCCAACATTACTGCACTCATTGACTTTTTTGTTTTTTTGGCAAAACAGCTTTGAGATTATTTTTGAAAATGGCTGCTGTGTTGGCGGCATCAGTTGGTAGAGCTGCCACCTCTCAGCAAGAAGGTTGCTGGATCGAATCCTGGAGGAGTCCTTTCTGGGTGGAGTTTGCATTTTTTCTCTGTGCATGCGTAGGTTTTCTCTGGGTACTCCAGTTTCCTCCCACAGACCAACAACATACATGTTAGACTGATTAGTAACTCTACATTGTCCTTAGGTGTGAGTGAATGGTTGTTTGTCTCAGTGTGTTCCTGTGATAGACTGGAGACCTGTCCAGGGTGTCCCCCACCTCTCGCACAGTGACTGCTGGGCATAGGGACCCCCGTGACCTGAAAAGGAAGATGAATGGATGGTTGCCATGTTTTCAACAGGCTAATACACTTGTAAAAAATACTCTTTTCCAGCACACTGTTAACGAACAACATCCTAAAATCATCCATGCTAAAGAATGATGCCACAAGTTAACGCAGTTATCTCTCGTCCATGGTGTGAGGGTGTATGTATCATTTTAAAACGTTTTTTTAAGAGCAAGGGTTCTCATTTCAATGTTTGTCAGTAAAAACCTGCCAACCAATTAATCCAGCTCCTGAAAATGTTCCTATGATAATCTTCAATTATGTCTCCATCAGTCAGGAATGTAGGACAATGCAAAAAAGAGGTCACAATGCCTTTTAGCCTATTTAAGAAGATTTAGACAGCTCTGTGACATTGTGACACTCAAATTTGAACAATCTGTAAAAGCTCCAAAAATCTCAAATAAATTTCAACTGGGACTGAAAAAAAACAAAGATATCAAATTGCCTGTTAGGTCATGTAAAGTCCAACTGTCTGTGACCCGTTTAAACTCTGAAATGTGTGTCTACTGTAACGTTTGGAGTTTTTAATACTCATTTAGACAATTTCCCGTTGTTGGCCATCAATTTTTTTTATTTGGGAATTGTGTTTTTGTTGTACAATGGTGCTACCAAAACTTACAGCACCCTAAGAAAACTGTACATTTTGATGTAAAGTAGTCCCTCGTTTATCGCTGGGATCCATAAAACCGCGATAAGTGAAAACATACAAAGTAGGAATGGTAGTACAAGTAGTTACTAGTAATTTATTTTTATTTTATATATAAGTGTATATAT